CGGCAGCCGCAACGACCCATCGGCTCGCCAACAAGCCAACGCCGCACGCGGCACGCGGCCGCACATGATTCCACGAGGTGGCATGCCACACGCAGCGCGCCGTGGCCGGCGCCGCCGAAACGCTTTCCGCGGCCGTCGTCTCGCTCTCGCCCCGTCAGCTTAGCTTCGAAATGAGTATTCTACACGAGCCGCCAAGATTTTTGCTGGGCAAACAGGGGTCATCAGCCCAGTAAAAATATAGGAGTACTACCACTCCCTCTTATACTAATCCTTCTCACCAATCCACGATAAGCTCGCCAGGCCTTCAATTTGTACTACCTCGTATGGATCTTTGCTGCCAAATTTGCGTCGTCTCCTCATACATTTCCGTTTATTATATTTCCTTCATTTCACAATATAAGTAATTCTAGTATTTTCCATATTCAATAAATATGAAAAATACTATAATGACTTACATTGTGAAACGGAGGGAGTATAATGCAAAACTAGTTCATAAGCAATAGATATTTCATTCAGCCACCTAACAACACAGTAGAGCTAGTCCATAGTAAGAAATTAGTAGTAAAAGTCACCATATGTATATGGGCTACCTATATAGAATAAAATATGTTATTTCTCTTTACTTCATCTCTCCTCTTAATACTACTTACTATTTGTATACATTGTGAAGATTGTAATAGTTAAAACCCACATATGTAGATCCCATCTATATAAACTAATTTGGCTATATACATTTGTGTTGCCCTTTAACACAAGTTAGCAGCGTGGCCCAGTGATCAGATGGCAATAGCTTTAACCAAACTCCATAAAAGTGAAGAGTATAAGGTGGGCCCATGTAAAGAAAATATAGATGTGAGCCTATGTGGCCAAACAATGTAAATATTTTTTTATTTGCTTCTTATTAGCAATGACTTGGTAGCAGTTGTTATCAGCTTTCATAATATATATGATCCGGTTTGAAAGGTGCATTTAATGTCTATTACCTGTTTTTATTTCACATCGTGGATGCTCTAACTTATTTGGCGTTCTCGATAAAATTTTAAGGTAGATTAATTTCACATCTTAAAAGCTTTAATTCCCATGTGATAGAAAATAACTGAACATGCCCTCAAGTGCCAAGTGCCCTTGGTGATTTATCCTCAATAATGCAGTGCAGGTTTATTACTGATCTGAGATCACCTATGCGGCTATACCTGCGCCAGTAAACACGTGGATATGAACCCCCAAAAGGGCCAACATTATCTGTCGCCGGGATACACGTCAGATGGAAAGATTGATTGATTAACCTGCTCCCAATCTCTCATGATGTACAAAAGGGGTGTGTTTAGTTCACGTTAAAATTAGAAGTTTGATTGAAATTGGAACGATGTGATAGAAAAGTTGAAAGTTTATGTGTGTGGAAAAGTTTTGATGTGATGAAAAAATTGAAAACTTGAAGAAAAAGTTTGGAGCTAACAAGGCCGAGATGGACAAGTTATCTTCAGTGTCTGAAGAATTTTCATTCAGTGTGCTTGTGTGCTGACGAACACTATTCATAGTGGATTAGCTTTTGCCGTGTTAGCTATCGACGACTCACTTTCGGCCTTCCGGAGCCAAGAATCGCCGGGCAAATGGGAATACACATGATCAACTTACCTGTAGCACCTCTCGCCGTGCGGCGGTGCGGGTATCCATCAATTCCAGCCCCTTCTTGCTTTTTATAAAGCGTTAATATTCGCTAATTTTGGGACAAAACCTCACGTTGGAAAAAACAGCATAATAAACAAATGTAGTTTTCATATACATTTACAAAAGTTGTGTTAAAAGTTGTGCGTATCTGGAGAAGAAGAGATATTGAGAGGAGACATAGATTGTATTGTGTGGACAATGTGTAATAATGTACACGGTAATGTGTTTTTGACTATCATAGACCAAAAAGTTCAAAGAGTTGTTTGGTTTTCATTATAAGAGGGAGGGTGACTAATTTCAAATCTCAATAGGTGTGGAATTATAGCAGAAAAAAATTACATAAACATATCAGTAGGAAAATAAAATCACGCACTATCCTTTGTTTTGTTGTTTTTAAGTGTGGATTTATTCCTCTCCACATTTCTCTCAATTTCTTTGTAGGTAGGAGGGATTATCCAAATAAGATCTAGAAGAATTAATTTTATATCTTAAGAGGTATAAAATAAATCTTCTATAAATCCTCTTGAGGAGAAATTAATCGAATAAGTCATGAAAGAAGAGCTCGGAGATCAGCAAGAAATCATGTGATCTGACCTTGGTACATATTTATGCAGGACCATCTGCAAGCGATATGCTTAGTGTTGTTTATTTAAAGATAGCATTTATATTTTCATTATGGAGAATAGGGGTGTTAATCTAAGGGCATCAATGGTTAATGAAACAACAATGTTTAGCATGTGTTTGTATTAAAACTTCATTTAGCTGATATGAGTAACTTGTGGAAGATGAGAAATGCCTAGGAGTCTTCCGGCTAGCTCCACAAGGTGGTGGGCTAGACGACCTGGGTTCAAAGCCTCACCCCTCCTAATTATTTGATATTAGGTCCTTCCCTAATATTCTAGTTTTTTTAGTAACTTGTGGAAGATGCTTATATATATATATATATATATATATATATATATATATATATATATATATATATATATATATATATATATATATATATATATATAGTAAATTTGTTTGGTGCTCCATGGTGCCCGGGCACCATTGTTGAAATTGAGTATATACCCAATTCAAATTAGTATGAAACTTTTTCAATTACTTAGGTATTAACATTAACTACTTTACTAACTAGTTTAAAGCAAGTTTGAACTGAATTTGAACTTGTTTTTGTTAGATTTTGATTCTAGGTATATAGCATCCATACATATAATTTGTTAGGTATGTAATCATGGATTGTGAAATAAAGTTAAATTTGAGTTGTTTTGTTGATAAGTAAAGGTATAAATCAAATTATTATAACTAGGTATATACTCACAATTTGAAAATTTTGAAAAATTTGAGTGATTTTGTGCATTAGATACCATGGTGCCCGGGCACCATGGTGCCCCATATGAGTGTCCTATATATATATATATATATATATATATAGATGCTTCATGGCATTAATTGTCATGTTTTCTCTTCATAAGCATATCTACACAATTATTCGAATATGTGCTTAAAAATGAAGCACAAAAGGACAGGTATACTCACAATATACATGGTCAGAACAGATCATTCGTCGATGATATTCTTCACAAGTATGCTCTTTTTATATTACCATGTTTTCTCTTCATAGGTATGCTCTTTTTTGTCTTCATAGATAAGCATCTATATAAGCTATTCAACCATTCATCCATTATTCGATGAATTCTTGGGCCTGTTCTAAGAAAAGGAAGAATGGATTAATGGGACATTCTTTTTTAACTTCTAAACAATAAGATTTTTTCAAAAAAAACTTTATATATACCAATCTTTAAAGAACAATTTAAATTTATTTTAAATTCATTTGTGGGAGGAATGTTGAGCTATTAGGAGTTACATATGACACGAGCATTTTACATGTGTTTGTCTTCTACAGCTGCTTATTGGACGGGCTACTACTTACAAGAAGAAAAAAAGTGATGTAAAAAATAGGGTTTATCTTTCTTTTAGGGATTATTCTTGTATACTTTATTATTAGCAAAACAGAAACTAAACAAAAGATGCAACATAATTTAAGCTCTAAAATCACTGTACTCTAAAATTCATAAGCCAACGAGCAACAACCAAACATGTACTATACTCTTCTGAGGCATCAGCAAACAACAATGTATCATTATCAACTATTAAAGTATCAGCAATGTATCCTTAACAATTAGTAAGTAAGGCAAGACTTAGCAAAAGTAGATAATTGTTGTTCAAGATCTCACGATGTGTACGTAAGATGCAAGTTTCACAATTAATAATATAAGAATGTACCAACAATATGCATACTCAGAATGCAATAGCATAGATAGAGAAGAAGGAATTAACACATAGCCGAGAGAACCAAAGATTCTTTAGGCTCTGTTTGGATAATGGGTTAAGAGGGGTGGGATTGGAATTGGGATAGGGATATGAGTGGAGGGTTGAGATGAAACGAGATATGAAGAATGAACGGCTAGGATTAAATGCTACTTTTCTAGAAGGTGGGATAAGATTTCCCCATCCCATTATCTAAACATGGCCTTATTTCTTTTGCTAGCATGTTAATGCTATTGTTGGGTTTTTATTGTTTATTACTATCTTCATAATATTTATTACGGATATTAGGCCGTGTTCGACAGCTGAGTATTAAGAGAAGATTTCTCTCGTCCTCAATGCGCACGCTTTTAAATTACTAAACAGTACATTATTTTTTTAAAAAAATATATAGAAAAGTTTCTGTAAAGAATCATATTGATTGTTTTTAAAATTTTAAATAGTTAATACTCGATCAATTAATCGTATCACCTTCTTCTACGTATAGGGTGTGTTTAGTTCACGTCAAAATTGAAAGTTTGATTAAAATTGGAACAATGTGACGGAAAAGTTGGAAGTTTGTGTGTGTAGGAAAGTTTTAATGTGATGGAAAAATTAAAAGTTTGAAAAAAAAGTTAGGAAGTAAACCCGGTCATATTCTCGCTATTTACCTTTTCTTTTCTCTAAAACGCGGCCTTTAGAGCTGTATTTACTGCTACTACTACTTTGTGGATGCTGTGGATGCCCTGATGCAGCCGATAAAAATGGCCCGGCCAACCAGTCAACCAAAAACCGGTCCCGGTCGAAAGTGCGCCCCAGCTTTCGAGTTTCGTCTCGAACACCCTTTTCTTTAACCCCCCGGCTCGAACTTCCAAAACGGCCACGGCCACCGTCCCGTTCCCCCCCTCCTCACGCCTCGCCACCCCACGCCCATCACTCCCCCTCCGCCGCTGGCCGCCGCCGCCGCCGCCGCCTCCTCCACCCCACTCCCTGCAGCCTCACTCGCGTACGTGTTCGCCGCCCCCATGGACCCGCCGAACCACGCCAAGCCGGCGGGCCCCGCCAATGTCGACCTCGTCCTCCTCATCCCGCCCGACCATCCCCAGCCGCAGCTCCACCCCAACCACCACCAGCCGCAGCAGCCGCCGATGACGCCGACGACGCCGTTGCCGGAGGCCGCAAAACCTCCCCAAAACCCCGAGAAGACGGCCGCCTCGAGCCCCCACGCGCCGTCCTCGCGCCCGCCGCTGCCTCCCGCCTCGGCCGCGCTCCTCCGCCGCCGCTCGTCGCTCACCAAGCCCAAGTCCCGCTTCGTCGAGCCCGCGGCCCCGCCCTCCTCCGCCGCCGCCGCCGCGGCCTCCTCCACTTCGTCGCACGCCTCCCCCGCGCACCCCGCCGCCGCCGCAGGGGGCGGCTCGGGGGCGGCTTCCACGCCGCACACCCCCGCGGAAGCCGACGACGAGGAGGAGGTGTTCCCCAAGGAGGTCCGGCGCAAGTCGTCGGCGCGCTGCCGCCGCAGGATGAAGCTGAGCGTGGAGCTCCTCGTGCTCGTCCTCTTCCTCGCGCTGCTCGTCGTCAGCCTCGTGGTGCGGCCGCTCAAGGGGGCTGGATTCTGGGGCCTGGAGATCTGGAAGTGGTGCGTCATGGTCATCTGCGTCTTCTCCGGCCACCTCGTCAGCCATTGGGTCGTCACGCTCGTCGTCTTCCTCGTCGAGCGCAACTTCCTCCTCCGCAACAAGGTGCTCTACTTCGTCTTCGGCCTCAAGAAGAGCGTCCAGGTCTGCCTCTGGATCGGGCTCGTGCTCATCGCCTGGTCGCAGCTCTTCGACCGCGACGTCGGGCGATCGGCCAAGACGGCCAGAATTCTCAATTATGTGTCCAGGTTTCTCGCCTCCGTGCTCATTGGATCAGTCATTTGGTTGGTCAAGACGTTCCTCATGAAGGTGGTGGCATCCACGTTCCACCGGAAGGCGTTCTTCGATCGGATTCTGGAGAATGTGTTCGATCAGTACGTCCTGCAGACGTTGTCGGGGCCGCCCGTGATGGAGCTGGCAGAAAATGTGGGCCGGGAGGGTAGTGGTCTTGGGCGGGTGAGCTTCACCAAACCGAAGGAGGAGAAAGGCTCGCCGGGTGTGATTGACGTGATGAAACTGAGGAAGATGAGCCAGGAGAAGGTGTCGGCGTGGACGATGAAAGGGTTGATGGCGGCAATCGGAAGCTCAAGGCTGTCAACGATATCTAATACGATCGAGAGCTTTGATGATGTTGATGGCATGGAGCAGAAGGATAAGGAGATAAATAATGAGTGGGAGGCAAAGGCAGCTGCATCTGCCATTTTCAAGAACGTCGCAAGACCCGGCTATAAGTAAGAGGATTATAATAGTGAAGTAGTCCAATCGTTTGGATATTCCCAATCGTTTGGATATTCTTTAATTTGTGCAATTGTTTATTGGTGCAGGCACATTGAGGAGGTGGATCTGCTAAGATTTTTCAACAAGGAGGAGGTGGATTTGGTGCTTCAAAGGTTTGAGGGAGCATTTGAGACCAGGAAGATAAAAAAGTCTGCACTGAAGAACTGGGTGGTAATTGAAAGCTCTAACAGAAACATTGTTTCCATTTATGTTACATGCTCTATGTCCTAGTGGTCATTTTGTCCTAGGATATAGGTTTTCTCAAATGTTCCATATATTCGTTGAGTTTCATCCGCAGCAGTCAGAATTGTGAACATGCCCTTTTATAGTACTACTACATTAGAATTCTAAAATTTGAGCAACGCATTTAAGCTGTAAACATTACCTGGAGTTATACAATTTGGACATGGTGAATTTATTATTACTACCTTATTGTCTCCTTTTCAAGTTCTTTTTGAGCATGTAACAAGTAATAGTTTATTTTCTATAACTCAATTTAACTATGTGAAAATGGAAGTGATACATCCTAAGCCAATATAGGATGGCTGTGGATGGGCTTATGTGTTTGATATGCGTTGATGCTCCGTGTGTAGACTAGAATATTTGAAGCTCATCTATTTGTTTTCCTGCCACCAGGTAAAGGCATATCTTGACCGCAAATCACTGGCACATTCTTTGAATGACACAAAAACAGCGGTTATGCAACTTCACAATCTGATCAGGGTTTTAGTGATTATTATAATCATTATCATCACTTTGTTGTTGATGGGCATTGCGACAACAAAAATCCTCCTTGTCATCTCGTCCCAACTTTTAGTTGTGGTATTCATATTTGGAAATGCCTGCAAGACTGTATTTGAGGCTCTTATATTTGTATTCATCATGCATCCATTTGATGTTGGCGACCGCTGTGTCATCGATGGAATACAGGTAACTTTTAGACCACCCTATTACCAGTACCTGTTTCAATTGATTTTCATATGAAGTTCTGGTACTGACTTTTATCTATGCTGATGTTAGATGGTTGTCGAAGAAATGAATATATTAACCACTATTTTCTTGAAAAATGACAATGAGAAAGTATATTACCCGAACTCTGTATTATCAACAAAGGCAATCAGCAACTTTTATCGAAGTCCCAATATGTATGACACCATTAATTTTACGATTGATGTTTCAACTTCAATTGAGAGAATTGGAGCTTTGAAGTCCAGAATCAAGGGGTGAGTTCTTAAACTGTCTTGTTTTCATCTTGTTTAGAATATTTTTTAGGAAAAGGACGACTCCAATATCTCAACATTCCAATGTTAGAGGCATACCACATATCATATATATTGATATGAATCTTTATGTGATATATATAATACGAAAGTTATCTGAAGTTGATTACATGTTATCACGTCTCAGTTACCCCTAATTCCTTTTGACTTTCAGGTACATAGACAGCAAACCGACGCACTGGTGCCCTATTCACACCGTAAACTTAAAGGACATCTTGGACGTGAACAAGATCAACATGTCGCTGTGTGTCCAGCATACGATGAACTTCCAGAATATCCGAGAGAGGAACCTCAGGAGATCTGAGCTCGTCATGGAACTAAAGAAACTGTTTGAGGAGATGTCCATCACCTACCACCTTTTGCCCCAAAAGGTTGAGCTTAGCTTTGTCGGCCCAAATCCAATACCCATTGCTCTTCCACAAAGCAGATAAACAATGGGAAAGCTAACAACTGATGACCGTACCATGGTGGTCAAGGAGGCTGACAGCTAATGACTTTACAGTTTGTACTGATGTTCTTCAAAATATTTTTGTACATGCCTAAGCCTCCTGTGGGAATACTTTAGCGTATGCATTGTATGGAAACGATAATTTGTGCCTGATATATACGTTATATATTCCACGTTGGGTCACTGAAATTGGAAAGCTCGATAGTTGGGTATTCTTCTTTATGGCATTTGCTTGATCTATACCCTGTTAGGGTTATAGCAGTGTGACATGGAGTTTTGTTGAACTTCACATGCCACCTAAGCCGAGAACGGTGTTAGCTACATGTTTCACAATGCAAGTTACTTATAGTGAGCGGGTCTCATTAGTATCATTCTTTTCACATTTCCTCCCCCTCCCCCCCTCTCTCCTCTCTTCCTTTCCTCACCGCAGGGAAAGTCGGGTGGAGGGCGGTGGGGCCAAGCGTTCACCAGCGCACCACCCCTGCCCTCGGAAACAGCAATGCGGTAGCGGGGGACGGCAGGAGCTCGGCGGTGCGAATCAGGAGGCATCGGCCAGCGAGGGCATCGTTGTCGGGGTCGGGGCATCACCGCTTCACCACCTCTGCAGCAACTGCCACAGGCGACCTTTTGTCGTCGCCACCGGATGGGACAACGAGCTCAGGGCGGATCTAGCTCGAACTCAGCGCCCCTACTCCTCTCCCCTGTCAGGCACGGCTCGAAGTAGGCGGGAGCTTGGCGGCGCGGATGTGGCTTCTCCGGCGAGCTTCTCCCCCCCTCTCTCTCTCTCTCTCTCTCCGGACATGGGTGGATGTGATTCCTATGTCTAACAAAACTTGTTTTCTTCTTACAAGGTTCTCGAGGCCAAACGAGGGCACATGAACCCGGTGAAGACATGGTCCCCACCCCCTTCCTCCTCCATGCACACAATCTGCCTACGTGGATAGACATTGTCACACGTCACGTGTGTGCACCGTGAATGCCCTTATAACCTTTTGGGTTTTATAGGTAGAAAAAAACAGACTGAACACTGCATATTGGATAATATAGTTAGAGTTGTAATTGCGACTCTGCGAGGAGCACCTGATATGTGTATCAGTTTATCCTAATAATTTTTGCACCCTAGCATAGTTGTGTTGTGTCGATTTTGGAAATCGACAATAATAAAAATGGTAGCGGACGAGACTAAAAGTAGATGTATGCGGAAGATAAGGATTTATATAAGTTGACTCTTGATATGAGATAATATACAACTTCTATTTTGATGGATGTATTCCATCGATTATATTGTGGGTGTTGAATATTTTGTGTCCTTAAGAGGGCTCTCTGCCCAACTTATACATGTCCGGGGGTAGGGTTACGAGCCTTCAACCTAGTTAGATACGGGGCAGGGTTATAAGTAGGAAACCTAATAAAATACGGCTTTCGGTTACCTTACATGTACATGTTAGTATTCAACTGAAGCTCTATACCCTGATTTGGAATAAAAGGCCACATGACGACTAAGTTCTATCATGTTACGTATTACATCGATCCGGCCCACCTCCTATTTATTGTCATATATGTATATCGTGTGGGTACTCGGTACATATCCTCCATAAGTAAATGGTGAGAGCCCAACTTCATGTGGACCGGACCTAGCCACCTAGGCTCTGTTCAAGGAGCTTTTAGCAGCCAGAGTTTATTTTAGAATCCCCGTCTCCTTTAAAAAGCTCAGTTTCTTATTCAGACATAGAATTAGGTTGTGTTTTTTTTAGGGCTTCAGAACCCATCCCTCCAAAAAAAATGAAAATAAAAATGGATTAATATGATTTTTTTACATGCAACTTTTGTATAGGAGCTTTTTTCAGAAAAACACGCCGTTTAGTAGTTTAGGAAGTGTGTGTGCGAAAAATGTAGGAACTTGAGTCCCGGTTCTCACCTGCAGGTAAACCTCCTCACACCTCGAGCCCAAACCAATTCAGTCCATTTCCCTCCCGTTGGTCCAGTCCAATAATTTCCCGAACTATTTCAGCCCATTTTGTCTCCACCTCAACAGGCCACCGTTTGGAGCAATTACATATAACCCAGACACGGAATAAGTTCACTTTTGGTTCCTCAAGTAGCCGTCGAATCTGGAATTCATCGAACCACGATACCAAATATCAAATATGATACGTCCCTCAATTCTCCAAACAAGTACAAATAAAAGTCCCAAGGTGGTTTAAACAGTGGTTTTGGCTAACATGGCACCTACGTAGCATTGACGTGGCACTTAAAATAAAACAACACGGAGTCCACATGTCAGTGACTATCCGGTTAAAAATAAAAAAAAAATTGCAGCGGGACCCACGTCATCTTTCCACTCTTCTCTCTAGTGTGCGCCACCGGTTTACCTCCATGTGCCCGCCGCCATCCACATAGAGGCGCCGGTGAACCGCTCGTTCCGGGCATGGCTGCGGTGGACAGCAAGATCGTCACTGCCACGCGTCCTCTTCGTCTTCGCCTCCATGGTCCCACCAGGTGATGTCCCCAACGGAGAAGAGCAGAGAGGGTCAAGTTGGGGGCATCGACGAAGAAGACCAAGGACGGGGCTGTCAGGGGCGGGGGCGGCGACAACCTCCATATCCCGGTGGTGGCTTTCAGGTGACAACGTTGTTCCAAGCGGAGCGACGGATCTCGACGACCGGTCGAACGAGAGGCATCAGCGCGCCGTCACCGACAGGGCTCCGACTTGAACGGGCCGCCACAGTTGTTGCGGGCGAGCGGCATGGACGTCATGCCACCGATGCTCCTCCTAGGGCAGCCAGGAGTGGAAGGGCGATGGATGGAGGAAGGCGTCACCGCCTCCGCTTCCCAAAACCTCAACCGGCGACGCGACGTGCTAGCTCCAGTGACCATGTCCTTCCTTGACGACAAGGACGACAAGGCCTTCCTCCTCGCCCTAGCGCCCACGAAAGAAGCTGCGGTGGCCTCCTCCGACTCCAAGAGTCGCCGCCTCTACATGACCTCGTCACCGACTTCAACTAGTCCTCCCCTTGCCGCTGTCCTCCAGGGGTCCTACCTGATCCACGTCGAGCGCCGCTACCTCGCCAGCCTTGGACCGGCCTCCGCACCTTCGTCGGAGCGGGTTGGGGAGACATGACTACATGAGAAGAGAGGGGGGAGAGAGAGAGGAGAAGAGAGTGCTAGCTACTGACATGTGGGGTCCGTGTGGGTTCGACGCTGACTAAACTTGCCCCATCAGCTAAAACTGAGTATCATACTGCTTATGATATCGGGTGATCTGGTTTTGTAAATTGGGAAACTATCATATCCGGTATTTTGATTTAGGGATGAATTTTAAATTCGGTGATAAATTGAGGGACCTAAAGTGAACTTATTCCCCCAGACACCCACTCACGCACCGCGCGTTTCGTGCCCCGCAGCCGCGCACCGCTTTTCCCACGCGGCTGGCCCGGCCGTGCTGTTTGCTCGCGCTCGCTCGGTCGATGCCGCAGCCGCGCTTCCGCGCGTCGCACACGACACGCTTGGTGGTGGTAGCCACAACTCCTTCCTTCTAAATGGAGATATTCACTCGTTACTTATATGTTATTAATAAAAAAAAGGAAGCGTATCCTATGCCCACAGGCCCTCGCGTGTACACACCGTGTACACCAACTAAAAATTATCACAAAAAATTCTAGAAAAATTCATACATGTACTTTCAATAGTATTACATCTACGTGCAAAGTCGCATCTTCAAATTCATTCTACATAGAGAATAATAAAAAAGATAAAATTCTGACAAAATTGCAACCTTAAAACTGTCAGATTTTGTTTGTTACGGCTAAAATATAATGAATTTGACGTTAAGATTTTAACCCTAGGTGTAATACAATTGAAAGTATGTGTATGATTTTTTGTAGATTTTTTGGTGATATTTTTTAGTTGGTGTGCACGTGTGTACACGTGAGGGCCTGTGTGCATAGGATATATTGCCTAAAAAAATAGAAAAATATAAAAGATAGATTAATATGCGCCAGCCCACTCCACAAATATGTAAGAGGTTAAATTTAACATGTACAGGTTCTTTTTTAAAATAATTGATTATCAATATTAAGTTAACTAATTATAGTTTTCTTAACTTGTAAAACTTAAATTTTAACCTATATATATATTTATGAAATGATTATATACAACCTACTAAGATAATGTATACTCCAGTTTAAATGCACATATCCTCTTTCAATTCCCACCGGTAGACCTGCGCGGTCTAGCGCTGACTGCTTTTGCTTCGGGCCGACCAACTGCTGCTTTGATTCTCCCCATCCGAGATTCCGCGGTGGTGGATCGAAAATTCAGACGACGACGACGACGAAAACTCGCGCGATTCGTGCGAACAATGCATATGCTCCCTCTTGCTGTTCCCACACGCTCCGCTGCTGTCTGTCTGTGGACACCGCGACCGTCCGTGGACATGCACAATCAATGAATCAAATGAAAATATCCTGCCTTCTTATGCAATATACTCCATCCGTCTTATAATATCAGAAGCTAGAATTAAAGAAAACATCTACTCATATTCATTCTGTATTATAAGGGCAAGTTTAATAGTATAGCCCACTACTACCTCCAATTCATCTATTGCCAATATAATATCCAATTCATACAATAATTACTTACTATACTACTAATATATGGTCTCACCTGTCATATACGCATTGTGTCTTAGAGTTCACACTGCAGCTGGCTACAGATCTATAGCCCGCTGCTTTTCTCTCTCATTTTTTATCCTATTAAAATATGTTTATGACTAGCTAATAACCTGCTATTATACCTGCTCTAAGATATCTTATTCAACTATTCTACATTATTACTCGAGAAGTATGGTTCCCTAGGAGAAGTATGGTTCCTCCCCTCCTGATCCGAATCGTATTTCCATGTTTTGTAATCTTTTAAGAAATGTGGGTTTGATAGACATGGGCTACAATGGTCCTGCTTACACCTGGACTAACAAGAGGACAGGTAACAATGTCATCTATGAGAGATTAGATAGGTGTCTGGCTAATGTTGAATGGTGCTCTAAATTTCCTTACACCACTGTTTATCATCTTCCCCTTATTTATGGTGATCATGCTCCTATCTTGATCCTTCTCAATCCTACTCATAGAAAGCCAAAAAAATCTTTCAAATTTGAAAATTGGTGGCTGTCTGAAAATGATTTTCATGATTTGGCAAAAAACAGCTGGAACTCTATTGTTAATGGCTCCTTTGTTGCTAAAGCTAAGAATCTAGGGCAGAATCTTCTAACATGGTGCAGGAAAAAGAAGCCTCTTCAAGACCAGATTGCCAGTACTGAACAGGAGATTCTTGATATTCAGTCTTCTAACAACAGACAAGATCAGCAAGAAAAAGAAAAAGAACTAATAACCAAGCATGACTCCCTTCTGCACAAGCTTTCAGATTATCACAAGCAAAGAGCCAAAAAGCACTGGGTCAAAGATGGAGACAGGAACACTTCCTTCTTCCATCAAGCTGCTATCAAAAGAAGAAGGAAAAATAGAATCTCTTCCATCATATCAAATGATCAGCTTATCACTAATCCTGATGAGATTGCAAATGTTTTCATTGATTATTTTTCTAACCTCTTTTGTACAGATAGAAACAACAGGTCTACCTCTTATTTTCCTGGAAATGATGATCCAGCCCAAGTTGACTGGCAATGCCCAGATGAACAGGAAGTTTTGCAGATCATCAGAAGTATGAAAAGTAATGCCTCCCCTGGGCCTGATGGGCTGAATGCAGCTTTCTTCAAGGCTGCCTGGGGATGGATAAGAAATGATGTCATGGGCCTGATTTAAAACTTCTACAGCACAGGTAATTTTCCCAGAGAGCTCAACAAGACTAACATTGTTCTTATCCCTAAGAAAAATAGGCCTGCTAATCCTGCAGATTTCAGACCAATCAGCTTGTGTAATGTGATGTACAAAGTCATTGCCAAATCCATAGCTAATAGAATCAAAGGTAAACTCCCTGATCTCATTTCCAATTCCCAACATGCTTTTATCCCAGGTAGAAGAATTGCTAATAACACTATTATTGCTCAAGAAAATTTTCACTCTTTTGGCCTCAAGTCTTTCAAAAGAAAAGGTTTTTTTTTTTACTGCAAATTGATCTCTCTAAAGCTTTTGATAGATTGGAATGGGATTTTATTGCTTTGGCTCTGAAAAAAAAGGGTTTTCATTCTGATTTCATTAATTTGGTGCTTGGCTGTATCAGCTCCTCCTCTTTTTCTGTTAATATCAATGGTCAATCCTATGGTGCTTTTAATGCTAATAGAGGAGTTAGACAAGGTTGCCCCCCTTTCTCCTTATCTTTTTGTGCTGGCTCTTAATGAACTTTCTGAGCAGTTGAATGAAGCCCTTCTTAATAATCAGCTTAAAGGTACCAGTCTAAGTCCTCAAGGACCTGCTATTCACTCTCTTCTTTATGCAGATGACCTGATTATCACAGGTGAAGCCACAGAGATTGAAGCAAGAATAATCAAAGAGATCATTGATATTTTCTGCAACAGATCTGGCCAAACTCCTAACTGGAACAAATCCTTCATCCTCTTCAGTAAACACACTCCTCATCATATTAAAGAGTTCATCACTAGAATCTTTCATGTTGCTCCAGTGGATGCTAATACAAAACACCTGGGCCATCCTCTTTTTGTAACCAACAGAACCAAAGCCTTTGTCTATCAATTCATTGTTGATAAGTTCAGAACTAAGCTTACTATCCTTAAAGCCAATAAACTTTCCCATGCAGGCAGACTCACCTTGATCAAATCTGTTTTTGCCTCGCTTCCTATTTACTACATGGCCACCACTCTTCTGCCCAAAAAGCTCACTTCCAAATTAACTTCCATCATTAGAACCTTTTGGTGGACAGGGGTGAAGGAAGGCCAAGACAAGAAACCTCTTTGTTCAAAATCTTGGTCTGACATTTGCAAGCCGACTCAGGAAGGTTGGTTGGGAATTAGAGACATCCATTTGGTTAACAAAGGCCTTATCCTGAATGCTACCTGGAGACTGGTCACTAAGCCGGAAGAGCAGGTATCTCAGGTTTTGAAAGGTAAGTATTTCCCAAGTACATCTTTTTGGAAGGCTTCCAGTAATTCTTCTAAATCTGTGTTTTGGAGCTCAATTCTGTGTTTTAGGAAAACTCTGAGGGAAGCTGTGACTTGGCAACTAGCAGATGGCAACATTTCAATTTGGAGCCAGCCTTGGTGTGATCTAAATAATGATATTCATGACTATATCAAGTTAGATTCTTTGCAGGTTCCTTTGCCCAACACTGTTGCTGAGCTGTGGACTGTAGGAAAAGCCTGGGATGTTAAAAAACTGAACACTATTTTTTATCAACAGGCAGTTAACAAAATTTTGCAGGTTCCAATCGTTCAAGGTGAGGGGGAGGACAAACTCTGCTGGAAGTTCACCCCAAATGGTGAATGCAATTCCAAAAGTGCCTACAAGGAAATCAGGAAAAAAGAGGCTAATTATGGAACTCAGGTAAGTAGTCAAGACAAAGCCATCTTGAAACAAATTTGGAAAGATAAATGCATTCCTCCGAAAATCAAGGTTTTTGCTTGGAGATTACTTCTGGGTGCTTTACCCACTGCTCAAAGATTGCATTCTAGGGTCAATGATATTACTCCTAACTGTTGCAGATGTGGTTCGATTGAAAATGATTTCCACCTCTTCTTTGATTGTCCTTTCAGTAAAATAACCTGGATGATCTCTGATGTTAATTTACGCCCTAACCTTTTTCCTGATAATGTCTCTATGGCTCACATCATTGCTTATATTACCAGTAATTGTTCTACCAAAGCCACCTTAAATAGGATTTTCAATATTTTATGGCAACTTTGGAAAGCTAGAAATGATCTTAAGTTTCAGGGAAAGATGCAGGAGCCAACCCAAGTCTGTTATGCTGCTGAAGCTATGATTACATCTTATTCTGCTTGTATGGAACAGACTCAAATGCAGGTTAATGTTCAGGCATCAACGTCAATGGAGAGGAAAATGGAAAGAATTCCTGAAGGGAACAGATGTTATGTGGATGCATCTTGGGATGACTATAAAACCGGTATTGGGATTTTCTTCCACTTCCCTGCCACGCATAATGCTCTTTTTGTTAAAGCCAATAGCTGCATGGCTGATTCCCCTCTTCAAGCAGAATTGCTTGCCTTGCAGTTAGCTTTGGAAATTGCTTTGTTGTTGAACTTTACAGATACGATCTTCCTCACCGACTGCTCGATGGTGGCGGACACGACAAAGAAGAGAAGTTTTCAGGAGGACCCTGGATACTGGAGTCTCTTACCTTTTTGGAGTCAAATTCAGACCTTGCCGGATCATCTTCTTAGAGTTTACTGGATCCCGAGAACTCTCAATAAAACAGCTGATAAACTTGCTAAGGAGGCTAGAGAAAACTTCTCTTCTCCTGTTTTTAGCTGTCAAAACATCTCTCATATTGCTTATCCATTGAGATCATGTTTTGCTTCTGTTCTGAACTCCAACACAAGGTTTAGGAATTATAACATCAACCATGTACTCTGTTTCTGAGTTAAATAAAATGCATGGTTTCCAAAAAAAAAAAAGAGAAGTGGTAGCACTACATGACATACTCGAGTAATGCACGCAAAGCAACCAATCGGAGCAACGTGCATCACTGCACTTGACCCGACACACAGTATCCTTCCTCCGTCCAATTAATCGAACATTCTCGCAGCCCCACACAAGCGAGAATAAATATAAGGTAAATATTAAAGGAGAGAGATCACCAATTCGATGCGACATCCCGTCGATCAACGGCTGTTTCAACACGTGCGCGCTGTATTATATACGTGCTCCTCCTACAGGCTATACGTATGCTTTTCTTTGGCTGTGTTTAGTTACTTCTAAAGTTGGAAGTGGAAGTTTGGGTTGAAATTGGTACGATATGACTAAAATGTTGGGTGTGTATGACAGGTTGATATGATAGAAAAAGTTAAAAGTTTAGATCCAAAGTTTATATCTAAACACAGCCTTTGCGTTGCAAGAAGATGTGTGACATCCGTCGTCGCACATTGGGTGGCGATGAATTTTCCAACCACAACGGCCGGCAACGACCACATGACATGAAAACACCCAACTCATCTTTACGCAACACTGGTGGAGAAACCCTTTGTAGTCCCGGTTCGTAACCCCCCTTTAGTCCCGGTTTCCAAACCGGGACTACCAATCCGGGACTAAAGATCGCTATCTTTAGTCCCGGGTGAAATAACCGGGACTAAAGATCGATCTTTAGTCCCGGTTGGTAACATGCTCAGCCACGTGGCCGGCTGAGCCAGCTGACCTTTTTTTTTTTACATGGCCCTGTTGCTGCATGGTTTATATATATATATAAACCATGCATATATATGTTTTAGTACATATATATGCATATATATATATATACATATATATGCATATATATATATATATATTATATTTATATATGTTTCAATACATATGTACATGCATAATATATATGTATTTATACATATATATGTTATGCAAATGCATATGTGTGTGTGTGTATATATATATATACATACACACACACATATATACACATATGCATTTGCATAACATATGACCAAAATATATTTACATTATAGAAAATGTGTACACATGCATATAGAAACATATGTAGTAATGTATTAATTACAATCCATTATATGTCCTAGCTAGCTACGATTTCAACGTAGTAGTAGTCGCTAGCTCAGAAGCTAAGGACCTATGAATTGTGTTTTCGTCGTAGTAGAATTCATCCTTGGGATCAAGGATTTGTTCGTTGATGAATCCCATGAGTTGTTCTTGAACCGCCGCGATAAATTCCTTGTGTGTGGTCAGGTTATCCCTTATGCGAATAAACTATATGAATGTATGAAATTGATTAGTAATTAAACAAGAAATCGATACGTAATGAAATTTTGAATTTATTTGTACGTACATCGAGCTCTCTTGTGGTGATGATTTGGTCTGCAAGGCAGTGGCAATACTCGCACACGTAATAGCCGCACAAGTTAGTTCCCTGCTTTTGCTTTGCGCACTACAAATAAATGACAAACAACGAGAGATCTAATTAATATACACTTGTATGTATTTGAATCGGAGAAATATAAATGTAGAGCATGTGTACTCACAGGAAATTTGAACATCCGCCTAAGTCTTTCTCTCCATTTGCCGCGGACCAAATGACGGAACCGATACCAAGCCCTACATGGAGTTTAAAGCTATGATTCGTAGTAGCAATTAACATAACAAGATTTTCTTAATTAACAGAGGAACTTATGACGGTACCTGTCTATAAGTTCAAAAACCTTGTCAAACGTAGACTCTTTTTTATCCATTGAGTCATATACGTTGACGGTGCAGGCCGACAGGTCGAAGAGTAAAAGCACCCAGTGGAATATGCAATGTGCGTGGGATGCATTACATATGAAACACTTAGCAAGTTCGTACGGGAATGAGATTTGGTATAGGAAGACAGTAAAATTAAACTAACTCTGTGTTGTACGGCAACAGTATGAACGTCTTGTAATGCTGCGCCTTCAGGAGATGGACGAGATTGTCCTCTGTGGCTTGCGGATATTGGTCGAGCATTGCGACATTTACTTTCCGAGGGTCGATGAATCCAGTATCGAAAACCCCCCGCCGTCGGGCCCTTTGAATCTCCATTCTACAACGATAAAAGGGAGTATATTATTTTCTATAGTCTACTTATATACAAGGACCTAATTAATTAAAGGAGACGTAGTAAGAAATCTAACTGAACGATATACTTACAAAATCCAGCAACTCATAATAGAGACGTCGAGGGCGTCCAGCTGGTATAGTTCGTAGATTCCCTTGAAATTGATCCAGAGAACGTCATCTCCTTACAAGAAGTCCGTGTCCCTGATCCTCGCTCCGATTATCTCTCTACCGGTGGCGCTCATGTCCATGTACAGCTGATGGAACTTGTACATTTGTGTGGGTAGGGACTGCAGCAGCTCAGGCTTAACAAGCGGTTTACCGAGTTCGTACATGTATTTCACTTCCGCCTTTTCGATTGGTGCAACTCCTAGCAATTGATCCGTAGTTAGACCGGTGTCAGTAATAAATTCTTCTATCGTCATTTCTTTACCGGTCACCAACGGTTCGATCTCCTGGTTTGGTTGCTCTCCAAGCTGAGGGACTGGTTTGGACTTTCCAGAAGATGCTTTCTTCAGCGTTTGCTCATAGTCCGATAGCTTAATGGCCTCCTTGGCAGGTGCAGACATACCCCTGAAGAAGTTCATGACACTCGGGTCTATAGGAATCTTCTTTTCTGGACTTCGAGGCTTGAATTGTCTCTTGACTTCTGATGCCACGTAAGCGTCAAGCTCCTCTTGCGTGCAATCGTACCCCGGGTCCTTGTTCTTGGCGGCATCAACTTTCGCCTTCTTCGTTGCCCTTGTGTGGGCAGGCGGTGGAGCTTGGGGGGCCCTTGACTTTGAAGGTGCCGGAAGAGGAGCTTGCGGAGGAGTCGGTGCAGGAGCCCGAGGAGGAGTCGGTGCAGGAGCCTGAGGTGGAGACGGTGCTGGAGCATGAGGAGGAGACGGTGCAGGATCCTGAGGAGGAGATGGCGGAGCCGGAGGAGATGGTGCACGAGACGCCGCTTGTCGCCCAGGGAGGATGATGTACCGCCTGCGCCATAGAATAATGGCATGGCTTGTGTCTCGTAGATGCGTCTCACCGTCTCCTCCAGGGTAATCCAGCTCGAGGTCCTCGTACGCGCCTTCGACCAACTCAACTTCGACCTTGGAGTATGTCACGCTCAGAAATTCATGAACCAGGATTTCTAAGCTGAATGTGTATTAAACCCCTATCCAGGACCAGCCAGGGTACACAAACGAAAATTGTTGACATACAGATCCACGTCTTACAAAAATATAAAAGATTACAAATGCAGCGGAAAAGATAAAAGCGAGCTAGACTTGGAAACTTGACTTCTGCAGCGGGGCAACTCCACTCCACAGGCAATCCTTGACGGCAGCGACGAAACCAACTTCGACAAGACAGCTCCCACTAGGAAGATCTTCAGCTCTAGTGTGGGGGAAAAGAGAGCAAGACTGAGTACTACCCACTGTACTCAGCAAGTCATACCGGAAGAGGAGGTATGATGCAGGGTATATCCAAGGGAGGCTAAAGGTTCTTTTGCATAAAGCTAGCATTTAAAAGCAGTTGTTGAAAGCAGTAAAACAATTGCAGTAATTAATCAATATTAACCAATCACTGTCCAATGCTACACCACGTTGCAACAGGCCCAACCAACCACCTGAACTACGCCAGTTCATTAGCTAACTAGGGGTGAGACCAATCACGGTGAATCTGGTCGACTGCCCATAACCGCGGGCACGGCTATTCGAATAGTTTTACTCTGATCAGAGGTGTACAACTGTACCCACAAGACACAGCCCCACGACACGTTCCCGTGCGCCGACATGCCACCACGACATACCGGAAAGAGGCCGTGACAGGACCCTTCGCATAATCCCCTCTAACCGATCGCACCACACCTTAGGGTTCGCCCCCGTCCCCAGCAGGCAACGGGCAGCCCCCCTTTCGTGCCGCAGTGAATCCGGAAGCCGATCAACCGGACACCCCGGCCGACCCAACTCCATCACGCCCACTCTCGTCTGGGTACGTCGGCTAGAGAAAAGCTACACTACAAGCCCAGCCGTTGCCCACGCTGGCTTGTGGTAAGTACGATAAGTTCTTCCAGGGCATCCCACGAACCGGTCCTTAATTGCCATGGGCACGACTAGCAAAACCATGCACCCACAGCTCACCATGTAGTGTATTTTAAATAGCCAACACCATTACGGTGGCACTAATCCAAAGCTATGCCGATAAACAAGTCTATGCTTTAATGTGATCCCCCTTTGTGCACTAGTTGAACTAAGCATGGCTAAGCATCTCCTAAACCAACATCTAGTCATTTTAATACCCAAGTTATCAATGGCGTAAGGGAAACAACATATAGCTGAGTAATAGGACCCATCCCACATGATATTGTAAAACAATGCAATATTTAATAGAAATGCGGGACATTTGTAAATTGGGTACAATATGATCAATTGTAATGTATGACTTGCCTTGCTCTCGCACTGATGGAACCACAGCAACGTCTTCGAGAAACCGCGGATCGACGAAACGGCCGAAATCTACGCGACAAACAAAGCACACAAGCAAAACAGGCTATAAGACTACTGAAACAGGAAACAAAACCATTTTTAATGGATTCTATGCATTTTTATGAATTTACTGAGACTTGAATGGACTTAATCGGAGCTCGGATGAATTAGTTATGATTTTTAGAAGATTCTCTGTGTTTTTACTATTAAAGAAAAGCCTTAATGTATTTATTGCGCAATATTGCCCCAGGGCTGACGTCAGCAGGGGGGCGGCGCCGACACGCAGGACCCGCGGGTTAGTGACTCAAGGAGAGAGAGAGGGAGGGGGTACTGGCAGGCGGGGCCCACCGGGTGGCGGCTCATGGGGAGGAGGTGGCACCGGCCGGGCTCGGCTCGGCTCCAAGCCGGCCGGTTAGGCGAGCGGCGGCGGCAAGCGGCCATCGATGGCGGCGACCAGTGAGAAGACGGCGGCGGCCGGCGACGGCGCATCGCGGCGACGCGCATGCGGGGAGCGGCGGCGCGCGCGAGAGGAAGAGAAGGGGAGGGAGTTCTCACCGGGGTTCGGCCGGCGCGGGAGGAGACGACGACGAACGGCGATGGTGAGAGACCGGAGGGCGACGGCGAACGGCGGCCGAGCTCCAGGACACTCTAAGAGAGGAAATGAGAGAGGTTAGAGGGAGAGAGGGTGTCCACGGCGAGCGAGAGCCATGGCCGACGACGGCGGCTATGGAAGGGCTCATCGGCACGCGACGAACGGCGGGCTCCGATGGCGGAATTCGACGGAGGAGGGGTGGAC